CTTATAACGAACTGACGGATATGACGAACTTATTTTCTTGTCCCGGCCACTGCTGTATCTATGCTGTACATATGCTTATAACGAACTACTGTTATAACGAACAAAAAATAGTGGCCCCTTTGAGGTCGTTATAACCGTAGTTTACTGTACGTTCTATTGCCAGGCAGATTACATCTGCATAAAGCTGTATGTGTAGTGTCCGTGTTCTGCTGGAAGGCTGTAGGGCTTACAGAGCGCTCTGTCTGTCTGATGAACGCGATAGGTTCTGTATTGTATATACTAACTGTTACGGGTAGACCTGAGCAGAATCTCCGACTTAAGACAACAGACTTTTCTTGTTCGCAGATTAATGATATGATAGAAAGGATATAATATGTCATGCTTGGATGCCAGCGATGATATAACATATAAAGAAATATACCCTATAACCTATTACCTCTCTAGTTCAAAGGCCGCGCGCTAATTACATCTGTAGATCGCGATGATAACATAGATTGCTGAGGGCATACATATAGAATACTAAACGAGCTTCCGTGTAATACCAATTTTATGAAACGAGTGAATAGTTGTGGTATCTGACGAGCAAGGGGGGCACGGGTGGCCTAGTCGTCTAAGGCGCCGCGATTCGCTGTGCAGAGTTGCGTCCCTTGGGCACGCCAGAAACCTATGATTGTGGGTTCGAATCCCGGTTCGCCCCGATTATTTTTCTAGGTTTGTCAGCACCATACCCGTGCTCGTGGGTTTCACCGAAGTGGTAAACTTCTGAGACCTGCATCACTTCGGGCTTTCCTCACACACGAAGCTGACACGTCGCGATATAACTGCAATACTGTTTAAAGCGGCGTTAAACGCAAGCGTTAAGGTTATCGCAACTCACATACTTTAACTTAGATCAACGACTGTCGTTGCGCTACAGTACGATCGCCTTGTTGAACGGGGCCTTGCACCTCAAAGTTTACAATCACGTCACAATACCCGATGACGTAATTTGTGGAATTTTGTTGCAAGACCCTTCGGCGAAACAATGCCATGTGACGTCAGCCTAGCAACAAGGTTGCTGGGGTCATCGAGTGTGCATAAGGTCCTCTCAGTGATCTATTATCTCCACACACAATGTCGTTGAATAATATGTTGAGAGCTTTCAATATTTGTTCGTGAAACGTGTTCCAAGAGTACATAAGCACGCATTTTGGTATTACACAATGTGTAATACAGCTGAATGTTTATTAAACGGGTGATCTCTTCACGGGCAAGTAATAAATTGGTGTAGGTATTGCCGTATGCACAACCCAAGCTGTAAGTCGGGAAAATACAATAGACGTTTCAGATTTATTTAGGAAAATAGTGATTTCAGATGATTTTTCAGAGAGAGAGAGGGGGGGGGGGAAGGAGAGAGAGAGAGAGAGAGAGAGAGAGAGAGAGAGAGAGAGAGAGAGAGAGAGAGAGAGAGAGAGAGAGAGCAGTAGTATACGGGAGTGCTGTAGTTTACGGTTTATGAATCATGTTGTCACTATCCTTTTATTGAAAACATTCCCGTGTCACGGAATGTTTGTGACATATGCTGGAATCGACCTCATTGTTCAGCGAGAACCACTGATCATGATCGATGGCAATAATGTAGGCAAAAACCAAGTACCAGGTGCAGATAATAAGCCAGTTGAATGCCATGAGCCCAATCACGCACTTTGTATAGATAATATTTAATTAAATTTGATTGTATATATTTGTTATATTTTATTGTTGTCATTCTCCAAAGTGAAGCCCAATTACTTTTTCGACAATGCCCGCTGCAGCGGCCGTTTTTATCAACTAATTAATAGCTTTTTATCGGCCATCTTTCTTTCCAAATGCACCAAAAAGGTTTATTTGCAAGAAGGGTAAAGGGTCATTCATATACAAAACCAAATACACAGAGCAAGAGCGAAAATTATACCACAGGTTAATACAAAACTACATAAATACAAACACACAACGACTTTGTGAGTTCATTACAGCCAATTTTCTTTTGTCATAAGCATAAAATTAGTAATGTGAGAAAAATTAAAATCAGCGTTCACTGGGAGTAACCAAAACTGATTTGAAGATATTTAAGCTAGGCTACTTCCAAAAACGTTCCTACATTCTAAGGTCTTCATATAATACAAACACATACATAAGAATTCGTCCTCTATAACGTGATTGCAAGCTGATAGTAATGTGAGCTTGATTTAGTTAGTGAGTGCTTGCTTTGGATAAGAACATATTGATACATATATCCGTAAGTTACCGTAGAGGTGAGATGAAATTGGGTTTAACGTCGCGTCCAAGATTATTGCACTTATATAGCGACGTGTGTGTATGTGTGTGTGTCTGCTTGTACTAGTCCGGACTGATTTCTTCTTTGATAGGCATTTAGCTTCTTTGATAGGCATTTAGAAGTTGGAGTACTAAGTAAGGATAAGAATTTATGGATGAACAACTTCTTTATTACAATAAGAGCGACGTTTCGGTGCAGGTTCTAACACCGTTATCAAGCAAGTGACTGATGTCGATTTATAGTGCTAGCACACTGAGATACCATGCCGCAGTTTCACTTGAATACCCCACTCAGACACAATATACTGCCTCCGAGCCGACCAGTCCTTGTTTAAGCCCCTTAATGCCAAGCGCCAGACAGGGTAACAACACGTACCATCTTTGAACGTCTTTTGGTATGACGCGACCGGGGATCGAACCCCGGACCTTCCGCTCTCCGGGCGGACGCTCTACCACTAGACCACGGTGGCGGTCAGTTACCGTAGAAAAAAGACAGTTGGCTGCAATCCGTTCGAGATAACCAATGAAACAAATAAAAAATCCGAGCAAGTAATGAGCGAATAGTAGAGGCCCATGGGTTGTGTCGAGGTCACAGTTACAAGTTATATGCCTTTTTAGGTATTCGGTCCTCCTGCATATGAACTACTTTAAGACAACTTTTTCTACTTCTAAGGAGAGAGTTTGTATAAATCGGAAAGTGATCTGTTTCTCCATACTTCCATTTGGGGTTAATAATCCGATATTAAGAAACTTTATAAACGTTTGCAGATGGATTGTTTCACATTGCTGTCCCCACACCACAGAACCATATAATAGACATGGCTGTATTTGCGTTTCAAACATCGTAACAAATACCGCAGTGGAAACCATATCAGTTTTACTGAAAGTTATCATTAATTCAAGGCGTCATATTTTTCATTTAATGCCCAAATCTGAAAAAAAATATTGCTGAAATTTCCTGAAAAATTAAAGACTAAACCAAAATATTTGTAGCTGGATGCAACTTCAATGAATTACGCAAAAATATTTCATTGCATCTGTAACCCATTGTCTGAGACTAAAATAACCTCGTCTGCAAAGACCAACAACAATATTTCTAATATATCAGGGATTAACTGAAAATCATGTTTACCATCAGAAATAATTCCATCAACTTGGAATTAAAGACAGCAGAAAGTTTGTGAGGTAGTAAATGTGAAAATACATGTCACTTTTGTCTTTGAATGCGACTTGTTGAACGAAGAAAGCGACACTTAGAAAAAAAGTAGTATAGTCAAAAATACACTAACTGATCTCAATTCGATATTCAATGGAAACGGGGATTTACCAGAACAAGATAATAATTAAAAAAACGATTATGTACAGAGTGTACATAATACAAAGAGATTAAGGTAAACTACATTGATCTCACTGTTCACTTACCTGTCCTATTCTTTTCTACATGTTTAGTACAAATTGTAAATCAATAGTGTAAATATCTGGGAGGTGTCCTAAGTTGGAGAACTTGTACCCAACTACATTTGTATAATAGATGGTGGAAAAAACACGGATGGACTGCAGAGTACTGCTTCAAAGGTATTATCTTTCATTTTTTTTTAATTCAAGTTTTTCCTACGGCAAATAGGTTTATAATTATTCCTAATAATACAATACCAATAATGGATCGAGGATCGCGATTTGTAAACTTACTTGATTCCCGCGAGTTGTTATGCGTTTGGTCCCGCACCACACTGAACGACGTGTTATAGAATACATGATTTAAAAATTAAGCTCTACCCCGGCTACCTGGAGCGGACATGCTGAAGTCAACATAAATGTAAGCATGGACACAGATATTTTACAGACGGATCTCCAACAAGGGAGGTAACTCGTACACCCTTACGTACAGTCAATGCGCCTTGAGCTGTCATCCACGCCACTCCGAGCTTGCAATTGTTTCAGAAAGTTTGAAACTAAAACATTATTATCTTGTCAAGTGGATTATCCAAACTGTAGGAAGAGACAGGGTTAGGATGCGGTCGTAGGTCAAGCGAAGTATCATGAGATTAACCATCATTCGTTTTATTTAAAATTCATTTTTTACATATATACACAACATATATACACCCACCAAGTTTGCGTCTTGTATTTTTAAAGCAAACAAACCAACCACAGTTTCAGATCTTGAGAAATCCTCAAATCATGGTTAGAGCACATTTGGCGCCCTTTGGTCAGTTTGGCAGTCTCAAATATAATTATTTCCTGAGTAGGGTTAAGAAAACGCGATCAAAATCTTCAACATAGCAGAAATATGCTTTCAGTCACGAAGGCCGTAATAGACATCAAAGACTTATGGAAATAGTTTATTGACTACCCCCGAATGTTCGTGAAGTCAAACCTTTATCAACGTCCAATATCTGCACGTTTTTTAAATATTTCTATTCATTCATCATTCATCACGGACACTTCAACCTTCACTTTGAAATCCAATTCCCACGTACCTTTGCCATGAAGACGTCAGAATCAAAACCAAGAACGCAATTGCCTCCAGGATAATTACCATGCGGTCTGACTCAATACATCCCAATATATTAGACGCTTTACAAGCACTATGTGTTTTCGGACTTGCGGGTCTTATTTCGTATGTGATGCCCGAAAATTTGAGGTTTCAAATGTTAAAATTAGCATGTTAAATTACTTTTTCAAAATGTTATTTTTCTTTTCAGATGGAGAATGGCCACGGTCCAAACCAGCAAAAACCCGAAAACACAAAGATCCGACGTCTGGTCCCATACGCGATTAGCCACGAGGGGATTCTGTGGGAGGACGACTCCCGTCTACTGAGCATCGTGTCCCTTTACATCCTCGGTCTTGTCGGAGTGTTCATCCTCATCTTCCTGCTGTGCCACTTCCTGAAGGACTCCGGACTGTCCCACCTCGGCCAGAACGACATCATTGACGTTGACAATGTGGCGCTTTATAACGAAGTGTATACCAACAGGATCATTGATATCATTCACACATCAGAGCGGGAACACCAGTCCCCTAAAACTAGTCCTGTGTCTACCATACGCAGCCATAGGAGACTCTGCGACACTGCTGAAATAAGTAAGTGAATTCTTCTGAAAAGCTTTATTTTGTTGTTCTCTGAACTCCGCTTATGAGTCGAAGAATCACCATTCTCGATTGTCCAGTTTATTATATATAGTAAACTACGGTTATAACGAACACGCTTATAACGAACTGACGGATATAACGAACTTACCTTTTGGTCCCGACTATTTGCTTTAGTTATGCTGTATATATGCTTATAACGAACTAAAATTAGTAGTCCCTTTGAGTTCGTTATAACCGTACTTTACTATATATCAATTCAATTATGATAAATACATAGGACTATTGATTCGTGTCGAGTCTGATTCGAAAGACATGACGCTTAAAATATCGTCCAATCAAAATCTCTTATCAGCGAGAGAAATTCTAACAACCTACCAGAGGACGTATGGGATAGATATGGCACAACAAAACAACATATATGATGATGGATATTATACGGTGAGTGAGTGAGTTTGGTTTTACGCCGCTTTTCGCAATATTCCAGCAATATCACGGCGGGGGGACACCAGAGATGGGCTTCACACATTGTACCCGTGTCGGGAATCGAACCCGGGTCTTCGCCCCTGAATATTATACATATATCTAATGCAGTATGTGTTATGCAAGCTCTACGCCATGAATGTATCAGCGTGAGAGAATGAGTGCGTGATTATGTCCTAATTCCGCATCATCATCTTTTTCCTGTATTCGATGCTTGTACAGGTAAAGATGGTTAACCATTTGACCTGTATCCTGTACCGTTATACATGTTCTTCTCAATGTTTCTGAACGAGCAAGACGTGACATCTGTCAAAGTTAGAGTAACTTGAACGATCGTGCGCTTCGTTGTCTAATATTGTCATTTATCATCCAAAACTGGCTCCCACAGTAGATATCGCATGGGTAATAAACATACAGCTGTATTACACATTGTATAATACCAAAGCCCGTGTTTATGTACAGCGGGAACAAGTTTCACGAACAAATATTTAAAACTCTCAACATCCCTGGGCTTATTCAACGACATTGCGTATAGAGACGACAGATCACTGGAAGGAGCTTATGCACACTCGATGACCCCAGCAACCCTGTTGCTAGGCTGACGTCACATGGCATTGTTTCGCCGGTGGATCTTGCAACAAAATTTCACAAATTACGTCATAGGGTATTGTGACGTAATTGTAAACTTTGTGATGGAGGACCCCGTTCCACAAGGCGATCGTAGCGCCACGACACTTCTACGTCTAGGCATATGGGAGAGTTATAGATAGCCTTAGCGCTTCGATCACTTTCTGGAAAGGAGCCCTGAATTCTTAGGTTGGCCGGTGCATGGTATTGAATTAATACGTGTCAACATTTGACGTGTTTGAAGTATTGTTTTGTTAAACTCAATAGGATTATGCTGTGGATCGCCTATAGATGTCTGCCTATTATCACACACGACATTGTTTTCTAAAAAAAAGGTTTTAAACGGCAAGTTATAAATAAAATACGAAACTCGCCCCGGTGTAGAACAAATTTAATGCAACTCGTGAATAGTTCTGGTATCTGACACGCTTTCGCTCGTCAAATACCAGAACTATTCACTCGTTTCATTATACTGGTCATACACGGGAGCTCGTTTAGTATTCTATTTATATAGAGATTACTACACGAGTGTCTGTCAGATACCATTGATCTTACAACGAGTTGTTTAAAAACGTATCTAACGAGCGAAAGCGAGTTAGATGCGCTTTGTAACAAAGAGTTGTAAGATCAATGGTATCTGACAGGCACGAGTGCAGTAATCTGTTTGTTACACACGCTAAAATCGCACCTTTTCAGCATCGAACCGATGCATTTTGTCTATTCTCATGATTGCAGTAGCGCATTAATACATAAAACCACTGTCATAAGTGACGTCATCCTATGTACTGCTTACTCTGTGGATTATCAAGGCGATGATAATAATGCAAACTAGACAAAATCAAAGAACAATCGTTGTTAAAAGTGGAAAAACTACTCGGCAAGCCTCGGAGTTATTCCACTTTTATAAAACTTGTGTTGATATATTTGATATCAAAAGACACTCGGATGAGACTCTCTCTCTCTCTCTCTCTCTCTCTTCTCTCTCTCTCTCTCTCTCTCTCTCTCTCTCTCTCTCTCTCTATATATATATATATATATAGATATATATAGTCAAGTATAGTAAAGTCGAGGATAATCTCTATATAGTAATGATTAAATAAGTGGAGTAAGATTGAACACAGTTTTAATTGGCTAGCGCTTTCAACTCGTTTACACGTTGAGAATAACATCTCTAACTCGACCTCCGGGTGGTTGGTTTATCTACAGTCCCAATGAAGAGAATAAAACCTCTTTCTCTAAAGCCCTAAAGCCCGCTGATAGTTTGTACATTACACTTCGAGGATAATCTCTCTATCTCGAATTTCTGGTGGACGGTTTATCTTAGCTACCAAACACGTAGCCTTGCTCCAAGGCTGTATTGAATGAAAAGTCCATAGATATGTAGTAATTCTATCCTTCTAATAGGCAAGTCTAGATATGTTGAAAGACTCCAGTTTCTCATAGGAACAACGTGTTCTTAATATGTACAACATCTAGAAATTATGATTTACTACTAACAATTATTGCCTTAGAGACTTGTGCAAGTCAACCAAACACACGTTAATTCTTCTAAGTCCAAACTCCCGTGATCATTGAGGTTCCCAGTTAAAGTCAGTTTGACAGTTATTAATAACCACACATGTGATCTCAGGCACCGTTCAACCCCCGGGCGCTGCCTCACTCCCCTCACATTCCATTGCCCGGGGGAGGGGCGGCGGAGTTCGGATGACCGTTGTTGTTTTGTGTAGTGTAAACCAGTATTACAAGTGTACCAGGTCTTGAGGCCGCTTTTTCGTCGTGTCTCTCTTTGATAAATAATCCAACCATGTAAACATTGAATGAGGTCAGAGGGTCAGATTGCACGTACGTGCATGTACGCTGGAGTCACATGTATGAGTCACGGCACAAAGTCCGCGGTATATTTTGCCATTCGTTCCCACGCGCCACGGTAGTTGAAACAAACCCATTTGAATACGTCTGATGTACACATATAGGATGATGGTCAAGAGTTACACGATAAAAGCTATCTATCGTAGCAGTGGCATTGTTCTTGCACACGTGTATGTGGCAGAAGAAGGGGTGGGGGTGGGGAGTGGGCGTCATTCCATAGCGACTTGGTATTGGGTGTCTAACATATTCTCGTTACTCATAAGTTCATCAGTGACCCTCATCAACAAGGGATGCTGAGTGACCTTTTTCATTCATAAGTCAGTATGGAATCTCATTCACGTGATGTACACATGGGCTAATCTCACGCAAGTCTTTAATATAGTTTGGCAAGTCTAGATTTCTTCTGAAAATGAAGAGAGCCATTGGCTCATTTCTATTATATATCGTGAGACAAAATCATCAATTCTCAGCCTAGACTAACATCTAGAAATGAACATATCGTACAGAAAAAAACAGTTGTTCAGTTATCTTAATAGAAATATAATAAAAAGGAGCCCAGTGACTCTCGTCCTGATACTTCAGTGATCTAGACTTGCCAAACATTATAGACTTGCATGGGCTGTTTTTGATATATATTTGTATCAGGGTCTGTAAGACAGACTATTCTCAGCCTTTCGACGTTCATAGCGGGAGTACACAGCATGTTTGATGTTTTTGGGAAATTATTTTATTGTAAATTTAATCTGATGAACAAAGAGTTTGCCACTGAGTTGATGCAAGGCATCAAAGCTTTTCCTGTGAAAAGTCTGACGTAGTCCGGTGAAATTACGTACGTAATTTGGCAAGTCGTCCCTGTGACCCAACCCATGAGTATCCAATGTATTTATTCTCCTTTCTGTTAGGTTAATAATTGAATTGAGATATGATACACTTGATAATCGAGGATGCAGCGAAGATCGTACTAGTTTTGTCAGCTGATTTAATTCTTAAATGTGGATGACATCTTTTGAAAGTTAATTGTGTTGCATTCATAGTCTGTGGCTTTACTTATGATGTATTTTACATGGTTTATTTATAAACATGTAGCTTCATTTACCTGACTAATAAATATATTAATATATTATTAGACACACAATCATTCCTGAAGATAAAGGTTTTATTTCAAGGCGTATTCGCTCGTTATAAAGCGTTTGAATCACACTAGTAATAATAAAAACAGTATCTAACACGGGCTCGTATAATAATCATTATCTATTAAATCCTGTCTCTCACGGTGTTTAAGTACTAATCATTACTTACCTTCAAGCTAAAACGCAATGTTTCCTAGTAGCAAAGTGATACCCAAGTTTTCTTTGAATTGTGTATGAAATACTTGGTTTGGTTTGGTTGGTTTGTTGTTTAACGCCGCACACAGCAATATTCCAGCTATATGACGGCGGTCTGTAAATAATCGCGTCCGGACCAGACAATCAAGTGATTAATATCATGAGCATCGATCCACGTAATTGGGATCGATGACATGCATCAACCAAGTCAGCGAGCCTGACCACCCGATCCCGTTAGTAGCCTTTTACGACAAGCATAGTCACCTTTTACGGCAAGCATGGGTTGCTGAAGACCTATTCTACCCCGGAATCTTCACGGGTATGAAATACAATGACATTGAAAATATTGTAACGACAAATTTTGTTAAGATGTAAAATTTCATGGAATCGTAAACTACTACCACTACTACTACTACTACTACTACTACTACTACTACTACTACTACCACTACTACTACTACTGAGTGCGAAGCCATTTGGCAATTTATTTTAATAAATTCAATATATCTTCAAGTCGAGATCCTTAATGTTGTTCAAAATATAATACAATGCAGACGTAGATCCGTTACTTGTCAGTCATACTTGCCGTAAAAGACTGATGTAGGACGTTAACGCATTTCCCATCATAAACGGACCGATGAAGATTCCGGGGTAGAATAGGTCTTCCGCAACCCATGCTTGTCGTAAAAGGCGACTATGCTTGTCGTAAGAGGCGACTAACGGGATCGGGTGGTCAGGCTCGCTGACTTGGTTGATGCATTTCATCAATCCCAATTGCGTGGATTGATGCTCAT